TGGATCCCAGCCCTACTCTGTTCAGTATTCAGAGTCAGAATAGACTTGAAGGCTACTGGTTTATACGGTCACATAGTAAGTGGCAGAGCTAGACTTGAGTGCTAATCTTGTGTTGAAGGGACCCAAGGCTCCAGCTCTTACCCTCTGAAGTATCCTGCTCCTAGATTAACATAAGACTTCTGTTCAGAAAATGTTAAGTGCTTTATGAAATTTTCATAGTTGCCTGTCAACTAGAAATGTGGAAAGATAGAGGGAGCTATTCTCACATCTTTGATGGGGATAAAGTTACTTGCTTCACCATTTAACCATAGTTGTAGAACATCCGTGAAGTACCATGCACTGGACTAGGTGTTGAGGGTACAGTGGTGAATAAATAGCCATGTTTCCACTCTCACAGGCAATAGTTCAGCAAGGAAGGCAGACAGGAGACAAAGGATCACATTCCAGTGTGATAAATGCTTTGATGGCAAAAACCTAGGGTCTCTTAAGCACTGAAGGAAGAGGGGATATTTATTTCCAATTGCTTTCTATCTGTTGTCCCACCTCATTAAGTCATTGCAATATGGTTGTGATTAATTTGACATTACTTCAGTGTTATCCATAGAGGAAAAAGTAACACCTCATGATTTGAAATGACTTGCCTTGATCACATTCTTGCAAAATCCTACAGCCAGAATGTTCCTTAGAAGCAAGAATGGCAAGACTTTGTCTCACATGTTTTGGAAATCTTATCAGAAGCGACCAGTCCCTGAAGAAGGACAGCATGCTTGGAAAAGTAGAGGGTCAGCAAAAAAGAGGAAGACCTTCAATGAGATTGGTCGACACGGTGGCTGCAACAATGAGCTGAAGCATAGCACAGATAGTGAGGACAGTACAGGAAGGGGCAAAGTTCCGTTCTGCTGTACACAGGTTGCTGTGAGTCAGAACTGATTTGGCAGCATCTAACAACAACAACAAATCATATCATTAGTAAGCAAACCATGGAACAGGGCCTAATACTTACCTTAGAGTTCCATAATAAATAATAGCTAATGATATAACATGGTGCTGTTATCCATTCAATAGTTATTTGCTTTTATCCTGTGCCAGAAACTTTTATCCTGTGCTAATCGCTGGGGTTTGAGTCACAGCAATGACAAGGCCCCTGGCCTCATGAGATAAGAGGATTGGAACATGCTCAGCTGATCACTGGTAGCTTCACAACTGAAACAGACGTCTTCAGTTTAAGCAGCTGTGTCACTAAAAGTTCTGTCGTCATCTTCCATAAGGCATGGTATTAATTTTACAGAGCCTCTGAAACCCATCTGTTATGTGGGTCTGAGCACCCTGTGTCCCCTATTCAGAGAATGAGAAAAAGAAATAAAACCCACAGTCACGTTTGAGCAGAACTCTACATCCGTTTGTGAAGAAACTTTGCTATACAAAACGTTCTAGGTTCCATTGATGATGCCTGAAATAGCAACATTTCTGATAACAAACAAAGATTATTACAATGATTGTAACTTCAGGAATTGTTTTATATGGGGATTACTAAATGAAGAGAAAACATTTTCCTAGCTTTTTTTTCCCCCACTATTGTTTTCATGAGAGATAGCTCTTTGGCCCAAATATGTGAAATCATTAAACCAAACCAAACTTACTGCAGGAGCTCTGGTGGCATAGTGCCTAAGGCATTTGACTGCTAACCAGAAGACTGGTGGTTCAAACCTACCAGCCACTCCTTGGAAGGAAGGTTGGGCAATCCTACTTCCGTAGTGATACTGCCTCGGAAACCCAAGGAGGGGTCGCTATGAGTCAGGTCTGACTTGACAGCATGTAACAACAATAACAACAACAACAATCATTGTGGAAGTAGATTGCCCAACCTTCCTTCCGAGGAGTGGCTGCTAAGTTTGAAATGCCAGCCTTCTGGTTAGCAGTCAAGTGCCTTAGGCACTATACCATCAGAAGGTACAAATGCTGCAAATTTTTTCTGACTCCAGAATTGCCTGTGTGGGCCCATTTGTGTCTGTTGGCCAGTGGTAGGGTGGGCTGAGGGAGAAGTCTCTGGTTAGTGATTCAGAGAGCCCCAGAAGAGGAAAATCCTTAGAGTTTATGTTGTAGGGGAGGGGGGGTTAGAATGTTCCCCAGAGCACATACCCTCGAGTCAATTTCAATGCACAGTGACCCTATAGCACAGAGTAGAACTGCCCTATAGGATTTCCAAGGCTGTAATCTTTACAGAAGCAAACTGTCACATCTTTCTCCCTCAGAGCAGTTGGTGGGTTTGAACTGCCAACCTTATGATTAGCAGCCGAGCACTTAACAACTGTGCCACAGGGCTCCTTGTTCCCTAGACCAGAGCCTATTCTTTTACATCAGTCTGGTACTTTCATAAACTAATGTCAGGCGAAGAGTTGAGGAATGTACCTTGGTTAGCCTCATGTTGAAAGCACCCAGAATAATTTATTTTCCTGTCCCTAAGATTTTGTTTACATGAGGATGATGAAGTGGAAATGGATAATTTGAGCGTGAGCTCTCACAGAGCCATGTTCACATATCCCTGCAAGTCTCACATCTTGTTCTGTGTTGTTGCAGTTGTCAGGAGCTAGGGGAGCTTATCTTGGAATACTAATAGAAATGAGCTAGTTCATGAATATAAAACTACCTCTCACAGCAACCACATATCAGACTGCGCCGTAAAAAATAGTCTGTCCTGCCTCCCCATCGTCTCCCTGATTATTTCTCTCAGCATTGTTTTGAGCATCTATTCTGCTCTGGCCTCAGATGTGATGCTTAAAACACAAGCTTTGGACTCAAAATCATAAAAAAAAAAAAAAAATAAAAATAAAAATAAAAACAGGTTTACTGGTCTGATAGAGCCTGGTGAGACCCCTGAGCCTACAGCCCCTAGTTACCCTTCAAGCCTGGAATTGAACTCACTACTGTGGCTTCTGGCCAAACAACAGACAGGCATATAGGGTGGACATTTACATCACGTAGATATACTCCTTAGAACGATCAATCACAGGAGAACAGAAAGACTGTATTTGCACAGGGAGATAGCTCAGGGGGCAGGAATGCACAGAGGTAACTACTACAGGGAAATAGTGAGAAGGGAACTGTTAACATTGTGGGGATTGCAGTTAATGTCATGAAACAAAATGAGTATGAATTGCTGCTGTATGGAAATGAATTTACTCTGTAAACTTTCACCCAAATCACAATAAAAATTAAAAACAAAAACACAAGCTTTGGGGCCAGAGAGAACTAGGTTATTTACTACTCAATTTGTTTATTGTAAAATGGAGATACTTTATGGAATTATTGAGGGGTTCAGTGACATAAAGGAGCCCTGGTGGTGCAGTGGTTAGCAGGTTGGCAGTTTGAACCCAACAGATGCTCATCAGGAGGAAATGTAACAGTCTGCTTCTGTAAAGATAGACAGCCTTGGAAACCCTGGGAAGCACTTCTCTGCCCTACCGGGTCTCTATGAGTCGGAATTGACTCAACAGCAATTGGTTTTTATGGGCCAATGAGATGATGTAAGTGAAGTGCTTTGTGCAGTGAATGGCACATAGTTGTTACTGTTGGCTGTGGTCGAATCTGTTCTGACTCCTAGTGACCACGCGTGTTACAGAATGAAACAGCGCCGATCCTATGCCATCCTCACGATGTTGCTGTGTTAGAGCCCGTTGTTGCAGCCACTGTGCCGGTCCATCTTGTGGAGGGTCTTCCTCCTTTTGCTGACTCTCTCCACTTTTCCAGCATCCTGCTCCTGTTCTATGTTCCTATGGTCGCTCTTGATAACATATCCAAAGTACGTGAGACAAAGTCTCATTATCGTTGCTTCTAAGGAGTAACCCAAAATATTCCCAGTCTGACAGTAGCAGCCTAAGGAGAAGTTAAGCATAATACACTGGAGACCCTTTGTGTAGATTTTCACAACAACTCTGGAATCTTCCAGTCATTCTTCTGGCAGTCCATGGTATATTCAGTATTCTTTACCAATCGTATTTTGAAAGCACCAATTTTTTGGTTAATCATTGTCCAGCTTTCCCATGCACATGAGACAATTGAAAATACCATGGCTTGGATCAGGTGCACCTTAATCCTCAAAGTGACATCTTTGTTTTTTTAACACTTTAAAGAGGTCTTTTGCACTAGATTTTCCCAATGCAGGAGTCCATTTGGCACATGGCAGACACTTTAAATATGTTTCTTCCCTCCCTCCCTGTATGTTCTGTATGTCAGTTACCTGGGTGAGTTCATCAGCGTCCTTTTGGCTCGGCAGAGTTTGTTCTGTTTAGGGTTTGGTCTCTTGCTGAATGTCTGACTGCTTGATGTCGTCTTCAATAAAGTGTACTCACCTCCTTTCATCCCCATCCCTGTCCCAGCTTGAGGCTTTGCCATCCACTCCCTGCAGCTGAACCAAACCTGATGAGCCCAGAGGCTGCTCCTAAGTCCTTGCTCTTACTCCAAAATGCTGAGCCACAAAAGTTCTGGGAATTATATATAAAGCCAAAACCTTCTCCCTCTGTACACACATGAGAACAGGGGCAACTTCAGGCCCGAAATATGCAACTATCTCCCCTGCTTTTCTTTTTGTGTGTGTGTGTCTTAGGAATAAATTCCAAGACATGGAGCCTTTTTTAGCTATAGTGTTCTCTCTCTCTCTTGCTCCCTTCCTTCCTCCCTCTTCTAAACATATGAACTGACACAACATTTTTCGTGAGCATTTCCTATGCATAGGCACTGGGCTGGTTGTTCAAAACAAAAGAACATTGGACCATGTAGTCCTCTAGAAACTGCCTAAAACCTTATTACATGTTGGGAAAAGTGATGAATTACTGGTTTATTTTCTGCGCTCAAGTGTGGTGCTCTTCATCCAGAAAGCCTTATCCTGTGGCTGTTAAACTTGGGATAGAATGTTCACCGCTGGATTTTAGATTATGAAATTGTTTGTCCTGCAGCCTCACTTATGTCTGCCCCACCTTGCCGGGATGTCATCATTGAAGTAGAAGATACCAAACCATTGTTGGCTTCCAAGGTAGGCTTCTGAACTGATCACTGAGTTATGGCACTTTTATCTTCCAGATGCCTAAGCATTTGGTGAGTTGAGTCAAACAGCCATTCAATGCATTATAAAATATTAGTCATCCAACCAGTTTATCAAGGACTCAGTAGAGAAAAGAATCTGGACCTTGCACTCATTGATAGTTAAGATGACAATGTGTGCGTGATATTATTTGCTAGAAAGAGAAATTTCAGAAGCACATTTATACCTTGCAACATTCACAGCAGAGACATACACAGCACACCAGTGTTTTTCCCTACATGAAGCACAAGTGTCAAGGATTTTTAATAACCCCATTTGTCAGTATATGGGGACACCCCAGATTTTTAAATGGTGCTGTGGTTTTGAAGTGGAGAAATGGGTATAAAGGGTCAGGTTCCTGTTTTAAAACCATTCAAGCCAATTTTTCAAGAAGGAAAGGAAAAAAAAAAAAATAAGAAAAGTCTAAGCCCAGAAAAAAGAAAACATCAAATATCGTCATGTTTTTGTTGGCATTTATGATGGACTTTCACAGCATGGTTTAACGTGTAAACTGGCCAAGAAATGCACATGATTGCACTTTAATATGTTATGTCGATAAACAGTGCTTTAAAAAAAATCCACTTCCTTCCCACCGCATTAAACTCACTAACAATTGGACTGTGTTAAATGTGGCCTCCGCAGCCAGCACTGTGTGTTTGATTCCTCTCTGGGATCCTACACAGTCACAAATGGCAGCCTCAAACTTGCCATCCCATGGCACAAAACTACTATTTTCACTTTGTAAACAACCCAAAATATTCCCAGAATGACAATAGCAGCCTGAGAAGTTAAGTATAATATACTTATACCCTTTATGCAGATTTGCACAACTACCCTGGAAAATGGCTGTTTAGAACTCTGCTCTATAATCTGCCTCCAACTTGACCACCTCCCATTGTCAATCCATTCTCATTATATGCCTGCTGTGTACTCAGTAGGAGCTCTGGTGGCATAGTGCCTAAGGCATCTGACTGCTAACCAGAAGGCTGGTGGTGCAAACCCACCAGCCACTCCTTGCAAGGAAGATGGTACAATCAACCTCTGTAGTGATACTGCCTCGGAAACCCGAGGGGTCACTATGAGTTGGATCTGACTTGATGACGGTGAGTTTGGTTTGGTTTGGTGTACTCAGTAGCCCTAGGCACCAGGGGGAATCCAGAAGAAGAAATCTGATCTATGTCAATGTTCTCACTCATTTCTTAACAATAGTTAAGATGACCAAGCTGCTACGGCAGTACATGATGAAAGTTCAATATATACATCACTAGAATCGAACACTGCAGGATTGAGTATAGTGGCATCAGTCATCCCCACTGTCCTGTAAAGGATTTTAAGCAGCTTGTCCCCTAACACTACCTGAGGTAGGTACACTGTGTTGACAAGAAAGGCCAGTCAAAATCTCCTCTCATAAACCGATTCCATCTGCTCATCAGATTATCTGGGTAGGCATCGCATGGCTATGCAAAGTCAACTGAGCAAAGTTGAGCTTTGGGAGAGTCAATTACAAGCTTGCTTATGTTCTGTAATTGACATGTGTACCACTAACTCAATTTAACTATTGTATCTTGATAAATTGAAGGAGCCAATCAAAACTAACTTTATAATTGCTGGGGGCTGGGGACTGGAGGCTGTGGCTTTAGATGACAGTCCCATGCTCATGGAAACTGACAACATTACCCTGTGATGTGCATGGGAGCTCTTCACAAATAGACTTGACCCCACCACAAGAAAAATGAGAAAGAAGTATTTGAGTCAAATTGGTAAGTGCTAGCCAGATAACATGGACATTCTGACATGGGTGTTTCAACAATTACCTTCCAATTCCAGTGCTTAAGGAGTATGTCAACAGCACTCAGCAAAATGGCTTCTCCAACGACAGTGCATGTATGTATGTATAAGAAAAATGCATGAAGCTGCCTGGGACTTTGGGAGCCTCAGTCTGGAGACTTTAATTCTCATTTCAGATTCTTTCTATTAGCAGATTTTGGAGTGACAGGTGCTCTTTAAACAAATATGATTGTTTAAGCCTAAAGGGAGAATCTTCTGTGCCATTTAATAATTTTATGCCCACTGCAAATTCATCATTGGATATAATAGAGCAGGATGCTTCAGCTTGTTTAACTAACACATGAACTGATGAACAGACGTGCATGAATAAATTCCCCAAAATTAATCCTAAATTTAAAAATCAGACATTTATTTTAATAACACTTTTTAAATCATAAACTGTTTTTCTTTTTTCTTTAAAATGATTTTGAGTAGTTGAAAATAGACGTGAATAGACGAACTGTTAAAAATGTGAATTTAGGAGTGATTCAGAATGGGAACGTACTTTCAGTAGAAAATCATTCTCTCCAAAATCTCAATTCAGCTGTGGTGATTTAATCCTTAATCCTGCTTTGGTATGAGTCTAATAGAAAGAATTGATATATCTATCTGTCTCTCTGCTCTCTTGGCAGTTCTGTTGGGCTAAATAAAAGCCAAAATCCAGAAAATACTGAGGGGGATTTACAAAAGAAGTCCGTGGTGTCTAACATAGCAGCCGCAGGAGCTGTTTGTAGCTGAGTTGTTCTCACCCTACATTAGAAATGAACTTGAACTAGGATTTCAGAAAGGAGGTCTGGGTAGCATTTTTTCAAAAATGCTACCTCAGTTCATTCTGAGGGCAAGCTTGGCTAGTGTCCCAGCAGGTGCCAAGAGAAAACAAATCTCAACATCCCAGCTCTTGACTCTCTTATCTCCCTGATGTCCCTGAGATCAGCAGTAGATTCTCCACAAAGATATTCAAATACAAGGATGTGGCCAATGAAAAACTTAATGATAGGACAATTCTGAAAGATGGACATTTATTTGGTGCTCTGCTGTAGACATGGAGAAAACCCAGGGAAGGTACCTCTGTGATGACATTGAAGTCATGCTAGACATCCTCGTCTTCTGATGGGAGGATTTTTGAACGAATTAGGATTAGGCCACATTGGGGATGTTCTTTAAGAGCTGCTACCCCTCTCTCATGTGACCATGGTGTTGGGCGATAATAAGGTTGTTTAACTCCATTGACAATATGAAGTGTAGGTGGCTACCTCCAAGCTTTTCATTTTCATACTATGCATAACTCTTTTGCACATCTTCAGGGAAGCAGCCAATAAGGTATGTTTAATTATGAGATCACCTTGGATAGTTTAAACAATCTATAAAATATTGATAATATAAAAGTATGCATGAAAATAAATTTACTCTCTCTCTCTCTTTAAATCTAATGTTTGTGGGATATCCATACCCGTGTGTCCTGTTATGTGGTTTATTCTCATCCTTCCCATTCATATGCATGAGCAGCTGACAGAAAAGGTAACCATTTTACATATTTGGCTTTATTTAAGATTCCTGTAGATTCTGCATATAATTGATACATAAGGAAACTTTTCTAGATTCAGGAGTGGGTTGCTGGCCGTTAAAGGGGAAATTACTGTGTAAGTGTGTGTGTGTGTGCATGTGCCAATGAGAAATGAGTGTCTCTTCTTCCTCTCTCCACTCCCTCTAACCCAACTAGTGGTTATATTGCAGGTAACATTCTGTATTTTTGGAATTATTTCCCAAGTAGGTTAACATAAGCAATGGCAGGTCTGATGAGGATCTGTTCTTGTTACAAATCTAAGAGGAGGCCCTTTGTAGTTAGAAAAACCTCTACAAGTGACTCTGACTTACTCTTCTGCCCAACTAAGAACCACCCATCTAAACCAGAGGCTCTCAACTCTGGCTGCACATTTAGAATCACCTGGGCAGCTTTTGAAAACATTAAATGCCTAGCTCTCACCCCAGTTGATTGGGTCAGAATCTCTGTGGATTAGTTGGGAACCACTGATCTAAACTAACCATAATGCCTCCCTGCTTTTATTTCACAATTTTTAGTTTTCAAAGCTCTTTCTCTTAATGACCTTATTCAACTTCCAAAACTATCGTCAGACGTAGATGGAGGCAGGTAGCATTCTTATCCCATTCAGTGGATGAAGAAATTGGTGCTGAGATAGGTCAAACAACTTCTCCAAGCTGTTAAGACTCATAATATAAGGGAGAGAGTTTTAATAGAACCAGTTTTTTTCCCCATCCTTGGCTTCATGAGCATTATATCACATGCAATATATTGTTGGCTAAAAGGGGTTAGGGAAATGAGATAGTGAAAAAACATATATTGGAGGTTTTATTTTAATTTGTAGATGTAAATAACAAGTCAACAGGGTAACAAGTAAAAGCAGACAAATCAACAGATTTCATCCATAGAGTGTAAGAAAATCATCTAGTATAACTATGGGCATTGAAGGTAAACATAGTTCATTGGCCGAGGATGATCATTTCTCCTCCAGCTTCTGGGCAGAAGAATCTTCAATGCTTTGTCCAGTGTCCAGGTAAACAAAAGTCATATAATCTCACCTGTTGCTGTTGCAGGTTTAGCAGTACCTATTTCTGCTACCTATTATATACAGCTTTTCTTGCATCGATTATAAATCCAGGTCATCATTAAAGGTTTTTCCATTTTGGCATGTTGTTTAGGAGGAAGAAATCGTTGACTGGTGGAGTAAATTTTATGCTTCCACAGGGGAACATGAAAAATGTGGACAATATATTCAAAAAGGCTACTCCAAACTCAAGGTACTGGTGTTTCTGCTGCTGTGGGTGAGGGATCAACATTGATTAAAACTGACCAAGCAGAGCTAAGTAGAAGATGAGAGGTGGGTTCTGATAGGCAGGGCTGAGAGTCCCCTGGTCTCCTAAAAAGCCCTGTTGCTATGGGTTTTGGCTTTATCATGATTGTAGGAGCTTGAGGATAGCTGCTGAATTATGATTACATGACTGCCACTTTGGGACTTGGGGACACCTGACATAGGGCTAGTAATGGGTTGGCACCACAAAAATTAGGCCAACCGCAGTCCATTTTGACTCAGAGAGACCTAGAAGTCATGGTACTCTTTGTAGAACAGCATGATTGGTCAACATGCTTCATGCCTCAAAGGTGAACATTCTATCTTCTAAATAAGGATTGGTTTCATTAGTTGCAAAGCTGACTGTGTTTCATGTATGCAGCATAAAATCACAACCATGGGCATATGTGTCCAGGAGAAGATGAGCTATTGTACTAAACAGGGCTGGCTGTGATCTTTCTGTTAACGTTCTGAGTTTTCCAGTTCTCTATGCAATTTATTAGCCTGTGATGACTCAAGTAGAAGCAAGTGCTAAATTATGAGAAAAATATACAGAAGAAAAAGCTTTGAAATGAGAACTATCTTGCCATTAAATTAATATTCTCCATCAAAATGGAAAAAATAATCACATCCTTTCATGTTATTGTCATAACATCTTGATACAATTTAAGAAGCACCAGCAGGTATGACAGCCACTAACTTAACAAAATGTTCAAACTGGGCTCATGGATCAGTGCAACTGGTTTATATCCTTCCCTCCCTTGCTCCCATTTTCTCTTCCTCCTCTTCCACCTTCTTCCACCACCACCTCCTCCTCCTCCTCCTCTCCTACTTCCAGTTTTTTATCCAGGTATAATTTACATACAGTGAAGTGATACATTCAGTGAGTTTGGATAATTGTATACACCTCTGTAAACCACCACCGAAAACAAGATACAGAACACTTCCATCACCACGGAAAGCTCCCTTATGCTCCTTTCTAGTCAATTCCCCACAACCTTTAATCCCTCTCTGAGGCAACCACTTGTCTGATCTCTATGACTGTTGATTGGTTTTGCCTATTTTTATACCTCATAGAAATGGAATCATATACCGTATGTATCTTTTGTGTCTGGTTTCCTTAGCTCAGCATAGTAATTCTGAGAGTCATCATGTTGTTGTAGGTATCAGTACATACAACATCAGTACTGTTTTTAATGCTAAGTATTATTACATTGTGTGGCTATACCATAGTTTGTTTATCTGTTCTCTACTATGGGCATTCCTGTAACATTTGGGCATGTTTTTATTTCTCTTGGGTAAGCAGCTAGGAGT